ATAATAATACAACAATAAAATAACTAATACTAAATAATAATAATATAATAATAATAATAATATAATAATAATAATAATAACTAATAATAAAATAATAATAAATCGTTCTATAACAACATCATCTGATGTGGTTAATTAATAATCGTGGTCCTAACTCAGTTTTCGTCCCCCATTGGACTTGAACCGGCAACCTTACAATTGGTGACCTGGGAGCATAACCACTTTGCTACTGACCCGCAGGTCTATGTAATCATCTTTAATATGTAGAATAAAATAAATATATATATTTTTTTGTATAATATTGTATAATTAAATAATTATTAAGATATGAAACAATAGAATTTTTTTATTTTTATATTATATACATTTATAAAAACTACAATAATTTTTTTTAATTAGTTGTATTGTTCTTTTAATTACATAATAAATTTTTTTTAATTAGTTGTACATATTGTTCTTTTGATTACATAATATATTTGAAACAATATAGTATTTTATCTTTATTTGCTTATGTATTTTATAATTAAATTTTGTATATTTTTGATATTTCAAATATATAAATATAGAATATTTTATTTAAAATTATTTAAATTTAATTTTACTTAAAATTTAAATTTTATTTTACAAAAATGACCAATTTTTTTTTAAACAAAAGTATTTTTGAAGAAACTCATAAAGAAAATACTCAATTGCAAACTGATCTTTCAAATTTGCAATTTCAATATTTAGATGAAGAAAATAATTTATCTTTATTAGATAATTCTGAAATTCAAGAAATTTCAGAAAATAATCTTTTAGAAAATGAAACTTTGACTGAAGAAGAAATTTCTAAATTTAAAATATTATATTATAAAACAAAAGATATTTTAAAAGAACAAAAAGATGATAATTAAAATTTAGATGATAAAATTAATTTATTACAAAATAATGAATTTAAAGAATCTTTTGATAAAGAATGTTGTAAAAAAAATTATTTACAAACTCAATGTGATTATTCAATAACTTTATTAAGACATTTAAATTTCAAAAAACTTTTTAAATCTTTTTAAGATATATATTTATTAGGTATAAGTTTTGCTACTAAATGATCTGAGATAGTTAGAAATTTAAAAAAATCCAAACTTTCTACAGAATATATTTTTGAAGGAAAATTAATTTGTTTTAATGCTTTTAAAACAATCTATAGACTTAAAAACAAAAAATAGAAAAATTTAAGAGAACATTTTGGAGAAAATAATATAAATTTAAGAAAAAATTCTAAAATAGATAAAATAGAAAATCAGGCAATATAATTTGAAACAGTAATAAGAATTATTACTTTTATAACAAATTATACAAAACAAAATAGTTTACTATTTCTAGGTATTATAATTATTAAATTAATTTTAATTAAATATTTTTATTAATTTATATAAATTTTATAGAACAAAGTTTTTATAATAATACTAGTACTATTATATATTTATTAGCAGATACAACTTATTTATCTTTACATATTCAATATATAAAAACAACTGAAAATAATGATAAATATGAAGTTTGTTATATAACATTTAACAAAATTTGAAAAAAATTTTTATTACTTATTAAAAAATTAACTCCTAGAAGTGATTTATGTTTAAAATATAAAGATATGCAATTTAATGCAAATTATTGAACAATTGAAGAAAAAGAAAATAAAATATTAGAATGTATAAATATATTAAATGGGCATATAAAGAAAGAAAAATTTATAAGTAAATAATTTTATTTATATTTATTTTATTTATTAAATAATATTAATTAATTTATTTAAATTTAATA